AACGTTTTGTATTTTACGCGTGTACTCCGATGACGTAAACAGGAATCGTATGGACCGCGCGATCGCACATTCGAAATTCTCGTATTTTTTCCGGAAAAAAAGTGGCAGAGAGGGGGCGGCGGGGGAATCGAAATTACATCTCCCGGTGTCTCAAATTTCCATCCCATCTCATATTCTACCTTCTCCTCTGCATTATGTTTTAATATTATATCATATTTCGCGTTATATTAAATTATATAATTTAAATTTATCCGGCAACGCGTACGAAAAAAACGAAACCAGGTCAGCGCCGTGCGGCGCGCATTCGGAAAATGTTCCGGAAATGTATATTCCGCGCGTCGTTAGAAAAAAATCGCTTTATTCTGAAACTAATCGTTCGTAATTCGAGCCGATGTTCCAGAATAGAGGGCTCGCTCGGAGGGATCGCGACGGCATCACCGCCGGCGAGCCACCCTTGAGGAGTAAGCGAGTAAAATAAGGAACGGAGGCGCGCGCGGGGCGTGAGGGAGCCGCTCGGCGCTGTATCAATTCATTAGCGCATTACGGTTAAAATAAAAGTATCCGCGTATCTGCGGCATGCGGCGTATCTCTTATGAAGAGGACGAGTAGTGGCCGACCGGTTTCTGCGGCTCCCTACCCACCTTTCCCGCTCCTCCTTCTCCTCCTCCCCCCTTTCCCCCGGCTCCTCGCGATGTTCTCCTCTGTGTCGCCGTTGTCCCTTCGGCTCCTTCAGCGGACCGACCTTCACCGTGATTTGCTGGCTGGCGACCACCATCCAGCGACTCCAAGTCGTCATTATGCACGGCAAATGGTGAAAAAAAAAAAAGGGTTAAATAAAAAAGAGAGACGACGAGAAGAGACGACGCGCGAATCCAGCTAGCGTGGGTGAGAGGGGTGAGAAGGAGCGGAGAGCAGGAGGAAGAGGAGGAGATGGAAGAGGAGGAGGAGGAACAGAGAGGCGGGCGGGACGATCGGGGAATTCGTTGGATTCAACGGAGGGTCCGAAGGCGAGCGGCGGCCTTGAGGGAGATGATATCTCGCGGAACGTCTCCCGGCTGATAAGCGAAATCGTGCGCTCGTAATGTGGCGTACAGAGTCGCCGGTTTATCTAGTTTATCCGCCGGCCGTGTCTATTCTTTGCGGCTAACATACGCGGGGGTGAGTTTGATACCGATGCGGTACATTCGATGCGGTATTGTATGGCACCGAATTAGCGAGCGTACACGCGTACCACTCCGCGTACTCCCCGCTATATTAAGGATCTCTTCTCTCTCATTTTCTCTCCGACGAGTTCGCAGGCGTAAATTTCGAGTGCCATCTCCGCGAAGAGGCAGGGAGATAAGCCGTGCTTGCGCACGTTGCGAAGCAGACGGATACCGGTATTTCTAATTAATGCAGGCATCCGTCGAAAGAAAGCGAAAAGTGGTTTCGCGCTAACGATCGTGCGTCGATAGCGGAGAATTCGCGCTATTAGTCGGACACTCTTAACGAGCGTGCGCGCGTTGCTGCTCGTCGGTCGCCCGTTTAGAGACGCGTTCGGTGACAAATTGTCCCGAGCTGGTACTTACGTAGTGAGTACGCGCGTCCGGCGAATACATTCTGCGCTTTTGCTCGTCGACCGTGGCTCGGATTAATAAGAATTAACCGAGACTCCTCTCTCTCTCTCTCTCTCTCTCCTGAAATAGGCAAAATGCGATGTCGTTCACCGCGAGCATGCCTCGCGTCGGTTACACTAAGGGGGTAAGTCGGCGGTCGGAGGGGACGGGGGGGAGGATCATTGGTGCTGGGATTTCTCGTTTTCGGACGAGGTGGAAAAAGCGGGCGCTAGTGAGCACACGTTCTTAGTTTATAACATATATATTTATTTGAGCTTTAATTGCATTTTAAAATACAACCGAAATAATTAAATAATGACAAATCTGGTAAAATGGTTTCAAGAGTTCGCGTATACATGATGCATATCTTTGTGGTTGCGTGTTTGTAAGTAGGTAGGTACGTTTCGAGCGTATCATTCGCACGGCTGGCTGTTCCTTTCCTCGAGTGTCACCGCGACAATGTGTGTGCATGTCCTTACGGTATGTCCTTACGGTGTGTATGCGCGCGTGTGTGTGTGTCTCTCTTTCTCTCTCTCTCTGTGTCTGTGTCGTATTTGTCGCAGCCACGTAATCGTCTCGCGTTACGTTCGTGTCACACTCCCAGCAGTCGTATATAATTACAATAATAATATTAATATTATTATTATATGTCGATAAATACTTTTAAAGTCCGCGATGGAAGAATTAGAGTTTACAAGAAATACGTATACAAGTATGTTCCGTTCTTTTTCCGGTCTTCCTTGTTAAGGACCGTACGTAGCTGCTCAATCTTTCCCACCTGTGTTTCAACTGTTTCATTCTCTCGCGAGTATTCTCTCTCTCTCTCTCTCTCTCTCTCTCTCATACTTTCTCCCTTTCCTCGAAACTGTCACTCTATCTTTCTGTCTCTCGACTCTCGCGCGCATTTTCTCCTACTCTTTCACTCTTGTCGTCGTAACATTCGTACTCAAATCCAGTCACGCCCAGTGCTCCGCATTTATCACTGCATTCTCCGCCACGCGCATCATCGTAATATAATAATCGTAATTATAATCAATATACACAGTATTCGCGATAATTCGAGTGATAATAATGACAATATTTTACACGTAAAATGACGCGTTGGCTCGCTCCTGGCGCAATAAATATTATTTGAACAAAGAAAATTTACAATGGTCTACACGTACGTTACGTCGAGAAAATCTGCGTTCTTCGACGACGCATCATTTTCTCTTTCTCTCTCTCTCTCTCACTCGTCCTTTTTCTCTCCCTCTGTCGTTCTCTCGCTCTTACTCGCATTCTTTCTTTCTCTCTCACACACACACACACTCTCTCTCTCTCTCTCAGACTCCAGTCTCTCACACACGCATTTGACTCGCGCGTACTTATTCAATTAATCGCGAGCCTCGCTATTGCACCGCATCTCCGCATCCTTCGGCTCTTGTCGCTTCTATACTCGCTCGTGTATCTCCCACACCTTCGATTCGCAGCAGTCATAACGCTCTCCGAGGCGGCGCACTCGTCCGTCCCCGCGAGCAAACTCACCGATTTTTCGTAGTAATAAGTATCAACAAAGAGATTCCTATACAGGGTCGAACCCTAGCCTATCCTATGCGCTAATAAACTACGACCTTACGATCTAAAGGTATACATGGTGACGATCTTACGACAAGTGATAGGCAAGCTTTCTCCTCTCGTTTCGTTTTCTCTCGTTCTAGCTCTCTCCATCTTACTTTTCCTCTTCTTCACTTCTCTTTATCCTTCTCTCTCTCTCTCTCTCTCTTTCCCTCACCCTCTCTTCCTCGCTCTTTCCTTCTCTCTGCGATCTAACCGATTTTTGCAGTATCCTTCGTCTCACGCGATCTCCCTCATCTCACGTCGTAAACGTCCTTAAGTATTTATAAAATCACAAACTTGGCCGCGTGCCGAGCCCCGTGACTCAGCAGTGCCGCGAGATATGGTGGCATCACAATTTAATTAACGCTCGTTCAACACCCACATCATCGTCACACCCTCTCACGTTCCTTGGGCACAAAGGAAAATCGGATTCGTTGGGACAATTTGTTAATTCGTATGTGCCGACGGAAAGGAAAATACGAAAACAAAAAACGGAAAGAAGAAAAAGAAAAACACCAAAGGCCAGACGTGTGCTGCGGGAAAATTCTAACGATACGAAAGGTCGACTGTACGAAGTTGCGCGCGTCCTGCCTTACACTCTTATTCCCATAGCGACCGAGGAAGAATTCTTCGAGAAAGCGGGGGAAACCCTCTCGCGAGGTTTCCCACACATTGCACGCGATCTATAGCGAGTAGAAAAAAAGACATTCGAAACGATTACGCGCGCACTGTTTTATTCTAGAGTACAATCCTCTTGTAACGACTATGAACGGAGTAAGTGTTGAAAGAAGAGAGGGGATCGGTGCAAAAAAAAAAAGGAAGAGACAAAAAAACAACAAGAGAGATGCATACAAAATAATGTAGTTCGCGAGATGATTGCCTCTCTCTCTCTCTCTCTCTGTTTCTCTCTCTTTCTCTCTCCGATGTAGAGATTTTTCGTTTTCGACTGGTCGCACGCGCACGCTAATCGTGCACGTCCGACCCAGGAATGATAAGATGCGTCCTCGATGACAGACAAAACAATCGCCAAAAATGGAAAAGGAGCCGCGGGTTGCGTGTTGCATCGCGCGTTTGCAATTACTCCCGCGTGTGAGAACGAAATTCGTTTACTATAATAATATAGTCGCAACACGGCGAAGTCTTTTTGACGAAGGTATCCACATTTAGGCTGAAAGAGTGCGGTGGCGAGGCTTTCGACGCTTGTGTAGCGGTGAGTCACGGCTGCCAACGTATGATTGCGTATTATATTTCCGCGTGTTCTTCGTCGAGCGAGTGTAACGCCGAGACGAGACACGCGAGGCGTGACGGATTGATATCTCTCGGAGAAGATCGATTTGAGGAGAAGGTGGTTTTACAATGAAGCGTTTACGGCTGAAACGCGCCCCGAGGTTCGCATTTATCGGTCGCGATCCTTCCGCCATTATTGGGCGCAAGCACCGCGCTCCCGTTAAATATCCCCCCCCCCCTCCCTCGAAACTCCGCGCGATTTTCGGAACACTCAAAGCTGATGCGTCGCGCGTGCCTCGTTCCGCGTAGGTTTCGAGAGATGTTCGGTCGCGTACTCGCAAGAAAATTGACGATAAAGACTACGAACGTCGAGATGCGATCGATCCCTCGTTCTCACGGGCAGCGATAATGCGCGCGAATAGAACGCGATCTCTCTCTCTCTCTCTCTCTCTCCCTCTCCCGAACGTTTATTGTTGTGAAAGGATAATCGGAGGAAAACTATCGGTTATACGTTTGCAGACTTCATCGGCGAACTCTCTCTCTCTCTC